CTTCAAGATATGCTGCTGCGGGAGTTCCTGGTGACTTACACCGTGTTCATGCCGACCTCGCAGCTCTGCAGAGCCCTGCTGCACCAATATCCTTCTGCGGCAGGAGCTGGGGGGGACCAGTCTCCATCCCACCCCCCTGCCAGGGACCAGCACGCTCAGCTTGGTCCCTGTCACCCCGGTGGGACCTCAGGGGTTGGCCAAGGGAGCCCTGAATCCCCCAGGCTCTCGGGCGCAGGACACGTCCCCGTTTCCCATCCTGTCCTGGGTGCACACGTACAGGGGTCCCTGCCCGCTCCCCAGCCCCGCATCACCCGTGCTGGTGCCCTTGACTGGTCCCAGTTTCCGCGCGGAGCCACTGGAGGGCTCGGAGCAGGAGAAGGCCACCTACTCCCTGCACAAGCGCCGGAAGATCCTGCGGCTGGTGAGCCAGTGGGTGCTGCTCTACGGGCGTCTGCTGCAGGGCGACCGCAGCACCATGGCTCTGCTGCAGGTACCGGGAGCGGGGTGGGGATGTCCCCAGGGGGCTCTGGCCACGGACACCCCGCGCTGACCACCGGGCACCTTCTTCCCACAGAACCTCGCGGACCTGGCAAGCCGGGACCCCCGCCTGGGCGGGCTGGTCCAGGAGCAAGCGCAGGACCGCCGGCGGCCCCGAGCGTGAGTCCCCCGGGGAAGGAGGGGTGTCCCCATCCAAAACAGAGCCTGGCTCTGTCCCCCCATGCCACTGCTGATGCCCGTGTCCCCAGATCCTGCGCCCCTCGTGTGCAGGGGGATTGCACTTTTCATGGGGCTGAGCTTTCGGCCAGCAAAGCGATGATTGCCAAGACTGGGGGGATGCCAGCAGCTCTCAGGCCACCTTGTCCCCAGTGTGGGGAGGGTGGCAAACACTGCCGAGACTCCCCGGTGCCCTGTGGGGCAGGGATGCACGGGGGCTCGGTGGTGGCCTGGATCCTGGGGGCTGCAGGACGCGATTCTGTCTCCAGCACAAGGCGTGGGCTGTGGGGCTCTACCACCACCTTTATCCTCTCTCTGCAGGCTGGAGAATGGCGACGGCAGTGTTTCTCCGCAGCCCAAGGTAGGGGTGGCCCTGGGGGGTGCCAGGGCTGGGGGGGGTGGAGAGCTGGGTGACCCCTGCCCTCTGGGGACCCCCAGCAGGAGGGGTGACCAGTGGGGAGACATCCTCCCCGCTCTCTCCCACCTTGGTTGCAGGCTCGGAGCTCGGTGAACTGGCTCTCAAGCCAGGAGGAGGCGATTTTAAACAGCAGCTGTGCCTTAAGAGCCCAGGACAAAGGTACGGCCACGCACGGTGGGGACTGTCCCCTCCCTGGTGGCTGGGACGCTAAAGCCCTTTTGCCCTCCCGTAGTGCCCTACGAGATCTACAGACCGGACCACTCGTGCCTGATCACAGTGCTGCCCATCAACGCCTCGGTGCGGGATGTCCTGCGGTCCCTGGCCCCCCGGCTCGGCCGGGACGGGGAGCACATCCTGGTGAAGGTGAATTCGGCCGGAGGTGAGCAGGCTCTCCCGGGGATGCCGCCGTGCCATGGTGGCAATTGCCCCATGCCCAGCCAGGATCTGGCCCCGTCTCCATCCCAACACCGACCGTCCTCTCTCCCGCAGATAAAGTAGGGCTGCAGCTGGACGCCGTGGGGGTGTTCACGGCGCTGGGGCTCAACGAGAGGCTCTTCGCTGTGAGCGTGGAGGAGCTGGGTGGCCTGGTGAGCGCAGGGCGGGGGGGTCTCGGGGATGGGCAGCACCGGGCTGGCCCCCCAAGCGGGATTTGGGGCTGTTGGTGCCTCCATAGCAGCTCAGGGGTGGGGGTGTCCGTCCTGGGGAAGGGGCTGGTGTCACCTTCCCTGCTGTGGCAGCTAATGGCAGGAGGGGTCGGGCGCCTTCTCTCCTGTGCACAGACCCCCCACCCTGAGCAGTTGGGCCCCCACGTTGGCTCCTCAGAGACCCTGGACCTCATCAGCTCCAAGGACCTGGCCAGCCACCTCACCGACTACGACTGGAACCTCTTCAAGAGCATCCACCAGGTAAGGCCAGCACCCGGACTGGGGCGAGAGATGCTTTTGGGGTGGCTTTCGGGACATCCCTCAGACACCGCGTTGGGCTTTGCAGGTGGAAATGATCCACTACATCATCGGGCCGCAGAAGTTTCACGACGTGACTACGGCCAACCTGGAACGGGTCATGCGGCGCTTCAATGAGCTGCAGTACTGGGTGGCCACGGAGCTGTGCCTCTGCCCCGAGGTGGGCAGGCGAGCCCAGCTCCTCCGCAAGTTCATCAAGCTGGCCGCACAGTGAGTGCCTCGCTGCCTGCGTCCCGGTCCTGCGAGGATGGAGCCGGTGGTGGCCTCCTCGCCTGACTCTGTCCTTGCCTGCAGCCTCAAGGAGCAGAAGAACCTGAATTCCTTCTTCGCGGTGATGTTTGGTGTGAGCAACACGGCCGTCAGCCGCCTGGCCAAGACCTGGGAGGTAACCATCTTTGAGCTGCTGCCAGCCCTGCGAGGTCCCCCTGAGGTCTGCAGTGATGGATCTGGGTCCCCTGGCTTGGGCAAGGGTGGCCTGGGTGCTGGGGTCCAGGCAGACCCTGCACCCATAAGCTCTGAGCAAGGGAGCTGCTAAGGGCAGGGGGCGCGTTTCCCACCGGGAAGGGGGCCAGGGTCAGCCCCTGGGTGTGGTTAGACCCAGCTGGGGGCCAAAATCCCCCGTACCAGCATGGCAACGGGCTCCACGCCTGTTGCTCACGAGCACCCGGAGCAGGCGGTGTTGCAGAGCCCACAGAGGTGCAACGGGGCGGGTGGAGAGCAGGAGGTGCTGGGGGAGCTGGGGGGTCTCTGGGGGTGGGACAGCCGGGGTGCCGACGCCGGTGACCCCATCTCTGCGCAGAGGCTGCCCCACAAGATCCGGAAGCTGCACTCGGCACTGGAGCGGATGCTGGTGAGCACAGCCCCTTCCCGCCCCGTATCCCCCTTCCCGGCAGGGTTTGCCCCTGCTTCCCAAAAGCTGCAAGGTCACAGGGGTGCGATGGAGGTGCTGCCCCCGCTTTCTCCCCTGCACCTGGGGCAGGCAGCAGCGAGGGCTGTGTCCCCTGCCTGCCCTGCGCTGAGGTCCCGCTCCGTCCCCAGGACCCGTCGTGGAACCACAGGGTCTATCGCCTGGCCGTCGCCAAGCTGAGCCCCCCCATCATCCCCTTCGTGCCCCTCCTTCTCAAAGGTGGGTGCCCCAGCTTGGGAGCTGCGGGGCCTTTGCTGGGTGTGCAGGTGGGAATGGGTTGGAGTGGGGTGGCAGGGACCCCTTTGGACACATCCAGCCCTCCCCAGGGACCAGGAATCTGATCCCCAAATCCCGCCCTGCAGACATGACGTTCATCCATGAGGGCAATCGCACGCTGGCCGAGAACCTCATCAACTTTGAGAAGATGGTGAGTGGGGCGGGTTGGCTCTCCGTGGACCCCCACCTTGGGGGGACCTGCTGTCCCCCCGTCCCCTGGGATGCAGATCCAGAGCATCTCCGCGGCGTTAGCGCAGCTCCCCCCCGGCAGCCAAGACCCCCGGCCGCCCGGGGGCGCCGCACCGCCCC